CCACCAGCCACTCCTCGGAAGGAAGGTTGGGCAATCCTACTTCCGTAGTGATAACTGCCTCGGAAACCCAAGGAGGGGTCGCTAGGAGTCAGGGCCGACTCGATGGCAAATGACAACAGCAACAATGTTTTATTACTGTAACTTTAGAAATTTTAATAGTTTATTTCAATGTATTTTGTCTTAGAAATGCTTACTATTGAATTGTTGAGAAGCTAAATTATCTTTCCTTGGGTCCTTTATACCTCTGGCCCCACCCTTGCTTTCCCACCTTCTCACTTTAGTGATGGCAGTTTCATTTTTTCCTCTACAGCAGCTATGGAACCAAAGACATGCTACAGACTAGTTTCCTCACTTGTAAAATGAAGGAATTACACAAAATTAGTGACTCTTAAGTCTTCTTTGGGTCATACAGAAATCTGAGAATCTGATGAAAGCCATGGATCATTACATCCTGGAAACTCCTCATTCATACAAAATGTTACATATCATTTCAGAGCTTGCATATATTTCCTGAAGCCATCCACAGACCCCAGTTTAAAATTATGTGGATTAGAGAATTTCTGGGCAACTCTAGAGTTCAAAAATCTGTCTTTCTGTACTTCTTTCTCACTCCACCCTGTTGATTAGCTAAATTATGATCCTCATTTTTCAAACTACTCTTACTAATGTGTTTTTATTCATATTATTTTTTCAATTTTCAAATGTCCTTCCTTATGCCCTATCCATCTTCACTGTTGAAAGCACAATTCAAATGTCATTTTTTTTCCTTCTGTCAAACCTCTTTAATCAGAATTAATCTTCTTAGAACTTTGCACAGTGATTAGAGGGCTGTGTCCTCTGTCTCTCCTTCCTCTTCACACCTGGCGGACAACAGATTGTAAATTTCTTGGAGTCAGAGGCTGTGTTCCTGTGTTAGGTTTGTACCTGAATAGTGCCTTGGTAGGAGTAGTTATGGAATAATTGCTTGGTAAATTAATTTGAATTTGTTGCTCATTTGTAATGGTTTACTGTCGACTGTGTCATGGGCTAGGAGCCCTGATGGTGCAGTGGTTAAGTGCCGGGCTGCTAATCAAACAGTTTGTTCAAACTCACCAGTCACGCCATGATAGAAAGATGTGACAATCTGCTTGTCTAAAGATCACAGCCTTAGAAACCATGGGACAGTTCTACTCTGACTGTAGGGTCACTATGAGTCAAAATTGACTCCACAGCAGTGGTTTTGGTTTTAAGTCGTGAGTTAGGAGCTGTGCTAGTGCAGTGATTAACTGCTTGGCTGCTAACTGAAAGGTCCACTGGCTGCTGTATGGGAGAAAGATGTGGCAGTCTGCTTCCTTAAAAGTTTAGAACCTTGGAAACCCTTTGGGACAATTCTGTGTTTTATAGGGTTGCTAAGGTTGGGCAATCTACTCCGTAGAGATACTGCTTTGGAAACCCAAGGAGGGATCGCTATGAGTCAGGTCTGGCGTGACAACACATAACAACAAGTCAGAATCATCTCGATAGCAATGGGTTTTTTGGTGTGTCGTGGGCTAAATGCTGGAAAGATGCCCCCTACCAAAAAAAAATTGTGTGTTGGGGGGAAGTGGTGTGAAATTGAACAATAAAGAGAAAATCTCATGGGGGAGATGAGCTGGAAGAATGAGTGGAATTTAGAGAGCAGGAAGGACATTTTCTGGGAGAGACTGAGAGTCTTTATCTATGTTTCATTAGAAATATAGTTTATTTTTATTGACAAGGAGTAGCTGTTTAAGTTTAACTTAAAATTTTTTATTAAGCTTAACATTTTTTGAATTGTGCATTTTTGTTTTTACAGGTACAAGAAAACTCACCAGGACATAGAGCTGGACTGGAGCCATTTTTTGATTTTATTGTCTCTATTAATGGCTCAAGATTAGTAAGTTCAGCCTTCTATAGTTTTGCCTATAGTATTTTATAATCTTTTGGAAATAGAATTTTTTAGATATTCTGAGATTGATGTTTATTAATAAAAACACAAGGTTTTATAAAAATATGCTTTTGAATATCTAAGGGAAGTTTCCTACTGAAAATGCGAATTACAAACATAATGCCCCTTTTGTAAAAATAGTAATTATGCATTATTAAATATACTAGTACGTCAGGTCTGAGGTACTGTGCCTCAGACACCACTGACTGTCTTAGGGGGGAAGAATCATGGGAGAGATTAACATATAAATACTTTACATGTTAGATATTTTATTTTTGTAAGCAGGAAGAAATAATTAAGATTAAAATATTTGCTTTTTAAAATATGTCAGAATTTTGTAGGTTATGGATAAATGGATTAGTAAGGATTCATTTGAAAATAACCTGTCATTTTTCTTGAAACTAAATTCCATGATATCCAAATAATTTTACTAGAATCATGAGACATTTTCCAAAAGTATAGAATTAGAACTACTTTCTATTAATTGATTTTAGTTTACCCATAGTAAAGTCTCATAAGAAGGAAATTATTTAATCCCAGCAAAGAAAATTCTTAAGACAATAGCTCCTTGGTTGGTTTATTTTTTCTAAATAATATGTTAGTTTTTACTTATCAACATTTCTCATATATATATTGAAATATTTAACCAACTGTTTCCATTTTACTTCCATTTCCTAATAACGTAAGAACATACATATTTAGGATAGAATCCAAAAGTCAAACTTCAACTCCAGCAAATGTTTTAGATTTAAAAGTCAAAGTCATCCAGATTTGCTAGCGATGTGACTTTTTATGGGATATTTTGTTTTTGAGCCCTAAATCACTCCTAATAATGTTAGGTTGCAAATTTCTTAACCTGTAGTGAACTAATTTTTTTGTAAAAAATCACTTTGAAGTTGTTGCTAACATAAGAGCTGTTCTTAATTTCTTGACATTCCTTTACTTTGAAAAACGTGTGAATGTTAATGAAGCTTTTTTCCTTAGCTAGCTTAAAACAACTATGTTTTACTTCTTGCCTATTGAATGGTTTACTTATGTTGATTATTAATATTATTGTTACAGTACTATAGAATACTTAAGCTAAAATTGGTTAACATTTTATCTATTAAGGAAAATTATTTCTGGGTGTTCACAGAATAAAGACAATGATACTCTTAAGGATCTACTGAAAGCGAATGTTGAAAAACCTGTAAAAATGCTTATCTACAGCAGCAAAACACTGGAGCTAAGAGAGACGTCAGTCACACCAAGTAACATGTGGGGTGGCCAGGGCTTGTTGGGAGTGAGCATTCGTTTCTGCAGCTTTGATGGGGCAAATGAAAATGTTTGGCATGTATTGGTAAGTATCCATTGGGACCCATTATTTCTAGTTTAAGAAACCAATATAGAAATGTCTTTTAACAGTGCTTGTCTCAGGTTTGGTACAAGTATGTTATTGCTGTGTTGTTATGTGCCGTCGAGTCGGACCCAACTCATAGCGACCCCTCCTTGGGTTTCCAAGGCAGTATCACTACGGAAGTAGATTGCCCCATCTTCCTTCCGAGGAGTGACTGGTGGGTTTGAACTGCCAACCTTCTGGTTAGCAGTCAAGTGCCTTAGCCACTATGCTACCAGAGCTCCTTGGTACGAGTATAGGGTTTTTTTATTATTTGACTGTTTTCAGTTTCTGAAATCACCATGCATTTGCTTTTGAAATAGGGAGTAAAAAGAAAAACCTTAAGGAAGAGAAGCAAATAAAATTTATCCATTAGAAGAATGCGTGTTAAAGTACATACCTATAAAAGTGTTTTAAATATTTACTAAATGTTCTCTAATTTTTATGCTTTGGAGTTTTAAATAATTATATTCTAGAAGATTGGGCAATCTGCTTCCATAGTGATACAGCCTCGGAAACCCAAGGAGAGATCGCTAAGAGTCGGATCTGACTCGACAGCAATGAGTTTTTAGAGTTTAATTTCTAACATCTTTAATACAATAGGGATTTGGGGGTTATTTTATCTCTATAATTAAGAACTGTGAACTATTAAATTTGGAAGGTTATTTCATATGTTAATTTTGAAGTGTGTTTTTCTGTCATTCTAGGAAGTGGAATCCAATTCTCCTGCAGCTCTAGCAGGTCTTAGACCTCACAGTGATTATATCATTGGAGCAGACACAGTCATGAATGAGGTAATCTGTGTATTTATTAATACTAAAACTTACATAACATATTCTCATTGATGTTTGAGTTCAGTGCTTGGTGGACTTTGCATTTAAAGTAGAAGTTTAGATTTTTGCTGATCAAGTTAACTATACCTCAGGGTGTTCAATGGAACATCTAAGAGGTGTCTTAGTAGGGATAGCTGTGAGGAAAAGCATACTTCAGCGTGGCAATTGCAACAATTTTGTATGTAGTATGTTGAAATCTTATGTAACCTTAAGACTAAATCAAATCTTTATTTTGGCCATTGATTTCAGCTTCTTTTTGCTTTTTAAGGGGACAAATTAGTTTAACTGTGTTGCTTCTGCTTTTGTTTGTCATTGGGTTGTTTTCAACTCATAGTGACTCCATGTGACAAGAGTAGAACTGCCCCATAGACTTTGCTTGGCTGTAATCTTTACAGAAGCAGATCCTCAGGTCTTTCCCCTGCAAAGCAGCTGGGTGGTTTGAACCATCAACCTTTTGGGTAGCAACTGAGTGTTTAACCATTTGCACCACCAAGATTCCTTTAAACTATATTAGTCACTTCTTTTTCCTCATCCAGTAACTAGTAGAAGCATACTTGCTAAATCAAAAATGGGAGGAAAAGAAAGATGACCTGGTAACCAGATATTAATAATGAAGAATAAAAGAATGTATAGAACTTGGATGTAGAAGGGTTTTTTACTGAGAATACTGAGTAGGTCTTACAGAGTTAGACACAAGGTCTTGCACATAGTAGGTACCTAATATATTAAATTATCAAACAATATCATTAATATCACACAAATAAAATTTTGCTGAAAAAATTTAAAAGTGGTTGCAGCAATATATACGGAATGCCAGAAATTCAAGCTGGATTCAAAAAGGACATGGAATGAAGGATATCACTGCTGATATCGGATAGATCTTGATAGCTGAGAATACCAGAAAGATGTTTTTTTAAACTGTGTTTTATTGACTATGCAAAAACATTCAACTGTGTGGATCGAAACATGGATAATGTTGAGAAGAATGAGAATTCCAGAACACTTAATTGTGCTCATGAGGAACCTGTACATAGACCAAGAGGCAGTCATTCAAACAGAACAAGAAGATACTGTGTGGTTTAAAATCAGAAAAGGTGTGTGTCAGGGTTGTATCCTTTCACCATACTTATTCTGTCTGTATGCTGTGCAAATAATCTGCAAAGCTGGACTGTATGAAGAGGAACTAGGCATCAGAATTGGAGGAAGAGTCATTAACAACTTGAGACATGCAGATTTGCTGAGAGCAAAAAAGACTTAAAACACTGATGAAGATCAGAACCTTCGGTATGGATTACACCTCAACATAAAGAAAAAAAATCCTCACAACTAGACCAATAAACAACATCAAGATAAATGGAGAAAAGATTGAAGTCAAGAATTTTATTTTACTTGGATCCACAGTCACTGTCCATGGAAGCAGCAGTTAAGAAATCAATCACATGTTGCACTGGGAAAATCTGCAAAAGACCTCTTTAAAGTGTTAAAGAGCAAAGATGTCACTTTGAAGACTGAGGTATGCCTGTCTCAAGCCATGGTATTTTCATTTGCTTCATTTGCATGGGAAAGGTGGATTGTGAATAAGGAAGACTTCGGAAGAATTGATATATTTGAATTATGATGTTCACAAAGAATGTTGAATATACCATAGACTGCCAGAAGAACAAACAAATCTGTCTTGGAAGTATAGCCAAAGTGATCCTTAGAAGTGAGGATGGTAAGACTTTGTCTCTCATACTTTGGTCATGTTGTCAGGAGGGACCAATCCCTAGAGAAGGATATCATGCCTGTTAAAGTAGAGGGTCAGTGAAAAAGGGGAAGACCCTTGATGGGATGGATTGACACAGTGGCTGCAACAATGGGCTTAAGCATGCCAATGATTGTGAGAATGGCACAGGACTGGGCAGTGTTTTGTTCTGTTACTCACTATAAGTCAGAATCGAATCAATGACATCTAACAACAACAACAACAACAACATGTTGAATTAAAGTTTGCTTGGTGAATTGGTTTTAAGAAATGATTATTACATCTGAGACAGAGTCTAGAATATGTATTTTTGTTTTTTAAGTTTCCCAGGTGATTCTCATGGTAGCCAGGTTTGAGACCCACTGCTCTAAAATACAGTAACATAAAAACAAACGTTTTTCTCCTGTGATATTTTTGCAGTCTGAAGATCTGTTCAGTCTTATTGAAACACATGAAGCAAAACCATTGAAACTTTATGTGTACAACACAGACACTGATAACTGTCGAGAAGTGATTATTACACCAAATTCTGCTTGGGGTGGAGAAGGCAGGTATGGTCATTTTTTAGATTAAGTTATGATTACTTAAACTTAAGAGTCAGATGTATTGTAAACACTGTTTTTGTTTTGGAAAAAAAAAAACCTGATTTATTATAAGATTCTCTTGAGAGAAGGAAAGGGCTAACCTAGAATATCCAAACCAATAATTGATTGGTTTTTTAAAAGCACGCATCTAAGGGAACATGGTATATCTACTCTAGTTCTTCTCTTTACTGAACTGACAGCTAACAGTCTGCTTTTTGAGGAATTATAGTGTATAGCCATCGTCTTTAGGAAAACCTAGGATTTAGAAGCTTTTCTAAATGAGTTGTAAAAGTTCCAGGCCTTGCTGGGAAAAGGATGGCTTAGTTAATGTAAGCAAGTAAAGCCTTTATTTGGCTAAAATATCAACACAGACACTCATATTATGTGAGATTCTTCAATTCAGCATATTTCACTGCCAGAATTTTAACTTGTTGCAATTTGAGAAATGTGAGGTAGAAGTATCATCTGAGAATCTGGCCTTTCTAGTAATACTTGATCAAGCTTATCATCACTGTCTGGGTTTGTGAACACCCAGAAACATCTCAGGATATTCAAAATTGATTGATTGCAGAGTCTGCCTCATATAAACTAAATTTCCAGAGAAGCTGTGTGTTCATTAGAATGGCAGTTTTTTTAATTTGCAATAGGAAAATGCTCCCTCTCCAGTTAGGAGAATTCTCAGATCCAATTAGTACTATAAGAGTGCTTGCTGAACATGGCATCAAAATACAAGAAGAGATTGGGAATGGTGATGTCTGATAGCAAAGAACATTTCTACTTCTTAAATTTTTATTTAAGTTGATTAGACATCACTACATTCTTGTCCTTTGGGGCTTTTTTTTTTTTTTTTAAAGACTCAGTGCTGATGATACCTTTCCTGTAGAAAAGATTCTTCTTTTTGACAAGTTTAATTTCACTGATTGTCCATTGCTTTGGTCAACCCTGTACAGGCCATTTTCTTGGGTCTGCGCCCTGACCTTGCATATGGCATATCTGTACCTTGATTTTTGTTCCTTCCCCATAGGCTAACAACATTTCATTCATTACATCATATTATCTGAATTTCATTCTTTGAGAGTCTTTAAGTTTGTGAACAGAGTCTTGCAGTTGCCTCAAGTACCTTCTCTGCCACCACATAGTTACTTGATTAATAAACATCTAGCTTATTATCTCTGAAAGGATATCCTTGATCAGCATAAATTATTTAATCTTACTTTCTTCCTCTGCATATATCTGGGATCCAAACCACTGAGGGAATTGCAGTTTTGATAATAGAAAGCAAGAAGAGAGGAAAGAACAAGTAATTTTTCGTATAAAGCATCATGGTTCAAATCAGGTTTGGATAAGGAAGATCTGAAGTTGGCCACTGCCTGGGGTTACCCATGGAGATAATAGATGCCATGGCAGAGGAAAGGTACAGAGATAGAATAGAAGTACAGCCTACTGAGAAAGTGTCACATAGTTTGTTAGATAAAACCAATCATGATGACACATAAGTTGCAAGTGATTATGGAGGGCCTTAAATACCATGGTCAGGAATTTGGATATACTTTGGGCAGTGGGACTGAGATACTTTATCAGTAGGAGGTACTTTAGTTCCAAACAGTAGAAACCAGCTGTTACTATTACTGTCATAAGCAGAAATGAATTTATTGATATGGACTAACTCATAAAATCAAAGGAAACACTAATGATCCAAGCTCAGCACACCTTTTGGGGTTTAGATAGCAAGGACAGGTCGGCAGTTTCATCAGCCTTCCTTCCACTAGGGATGATGCCATTTTTGGTTTTCTGCAGTACTCAAAATTTGCAGCCCTGGACAAGAGAGGTTGATTGGCCTGTGTCTGGTCTGAGCCACTTCCTTGGTTTGAACAGGTCAGGCACCCTGTTTAACAGTCCCACCAGCACTACACACAACAGCAGGAAGGTAATTCCACAAAGGGAAGGCAGAGGAGGGAGTATTGGGAAACCAACAGACTGAGTGAAGGAGCAGTATGACCACATCTTTTTTGAAAGATGTCTCTAGTGGTAGTGAGAGGATGAATTGGAATTGGGATCTGGATTAAACGTATGTTACTGATTTGTGTCAAGTTTTACTATAGAATTATGAGGTATATAAATGATATCATACAAAAGTACATTGAGCTTTTTGGTAGAAAGGCTGTGTGGCATTCATTAATAATTATTAAATGCCTTCCATGTTCCAGAAACTATTAGCCAGTAAACAAAACAATGTCTCTATCCTCCAGGAATGTTCATTTTATTGGGAGTACAAACAATAAATAAATATGCAGTATGACTGATGATTATAAATGCTTGAAGAAAAATAAAGGAGAGTAAAGATAGCAATCAGGGGAGATGAATAACTTTAAGTGAAAAATATTTTTATAGCCTAGGATGTGGCATTGGATATGGCTATTTGCATCGAATACCTACACGCCCATTTGAAGAAGGAAAGAAAATTTCTCTTCCAGGACAAATGACTGGTACACCTGTTACTCCTCTTAAAGATGGGTTTACGGAGGTAAGACATTGTACTCATTGTGCTACCTGAATATATGATAACAGTTTCCACTCAAGTCAAGGGTCTGTGTGTTTGGTGGTAGCTCTAATTGAGATTGGGCAGACAATGAGTTAAGTAATGAGCATGCTGAATTTAAGATGCCTTTAGGCTATCCAAATGGAGATTAGATGTAGGGGTCTGGCTTTCAGGAATGATGACTGGGCTGAGATACAGATTTGGGAATCATCTGCAAAGAGGGGGTAATTTAACCTAGGTGGAGGTCAGAGGACGGGTCAGAATCTTGAAAAATTCTAGTTTTTAAATGAATGGAAGACAAAGGGAATCCAGCAAAGGAAGCTCTAGAGGAGAAACCCAAAGGAAAAGCAGCACTTCAAGAGAAAGGGCATAGTTAGCTCTGTCAGCTGCTGCAGAGACACCAGGTGAGAGAAGGCATGAAAAAACACACCCTGGGCTACCATGGTTTCAGTGGCTTGTCAGGGTGCAAAGGTCAGATTACAGAGGATATAGAATGAATTGTGGGGGTTGTTTAATGTGGTGACAGCTAGGGCTTAGGAGCCCCTGGGTGGCACAGATGGTTCAGTGCTGGACTACTAATCTGAAGGCTGTTAGTTCAAGCCCACTCAGAGGGATCTCAGAAGAAAAGCCTAGTGATGTGCTTCCGGAAGATCACAGCTATGAAAGCCATTTGGAGGCTTCTCTGCTCTGACACACTTGGGGGCCATGAGTTGGAATTGACAGCAACTGATTTACTGGTTAGCTAGTACTTACCTTAGTTCAAGAAGCTTAATTGAGGAAGCAAAGAGAGTTAGATACATGGTGGGTGGTGGAGTATGAAGGGGGTGGGTAAAGCATGACAGTAAGACATCTTAAGAGATGTTGTGTTCCATCAAGTCTGTTCTGACTCAGAGCAACCGTATAGGACAGAGTAGAACTGCCCCTTAGGGTTTCCTAGGCTGTAATTTTCACAGGAGCAGATTGCGAGGTCTTTTCTTGCAGAGCTGCTACTGGGTTCAAACCACCAACCTCCTGTTAGCAGCCTAGCACTTTAACCATTGCGCCACCAGGGCTCCATTTTTAAGGATAAAAGAGCAGTTACCTAGTTACCTAGCTAGAACTACTAGCTAAAAGGTTGGTAGTTCAGATCACCCCGAACTGCTTTGGGAGGTAGGCCTGGTGATACGCTTCCGAAAGGTCACAGTCTTGCAAACCCTGTGGAGCAGTACCTGTGCACGTGGGGCTGCCCTGAGACTCGACAGCAGCAGCACCACCGTAGGCGTGAAATGTTCTGAAAGGGATCCAGGAACAGTTCATTCTTACCTACACAGCTAAATAAAAAACAGACTCCCTGCCCCAACAACAGAAAACAAAAAAACTGCTGTTGTAGAATGAGGCCTTCTGCCCTGTCGTGTTATGATACATACTTTGGCCATCCCCAGTTCTAAAGGAAATGAGCAGGAGCTACTGAGATGCTTAATCCCCCCCAATTAGCCTACAGCCAGAACTAGTGTAGTTACATGTCCAGACTCCTGCCACTATATCTGCTGCCCTACTCGGTGCATCTTCCCCAGATGGGCCTATACATGCTGCCTGAGAACATCATAGAGTGAAATGGTAGCTAGGGAAAGGACCAAAATACAAATTGTGTAGGAATGTACCAAGTGTGGAAGATATTCAGAGGGGAAACAACCCATTTATAGAGTCCATAAAGAAGCCCCTTGTTTTCCCTGAAACGTGGAGATAATGGCTGCAACATTCATTCATTGGTAAGACAAGATGAAAGGAATGTTAGAAATCTTGGTATTAAAACTTCCAGGTGATTGCTTCCATGAGCAATGGAAGTTTGAAAGAAAAACTGGCTGGGAATTCAGAGAGAGGAGGAAAGCAGTAGTATTTGAAGAGTTGAGTCAAATGACTTTTGGGTGATTCAGAAGGAAGAGAATAGAATCTTCTTCTAGAGTGGAAGTAGTTAGAAGAGTGTGTGTAACTGGGGGCAGGATGATGCCACTGACTGGGCATCATGAAAATGAGGGGCTGAAGGTCTTTACAGCGTGTGTCCCCAGCACAGTGAGGACGGAGTGTCTGAAGGCAGAAGTGCAGGTGCAAACTTTGGACAAGTAGTATATGACCAACAAATGTGCATAGCTATAAGACAGGTGAAAGCCAGTATTTATATTTTCTTTAAAGTAAACTCCAGTAATGTTCTTTCTTTTTCTCTTTTGGAAGGTCCAGCTGTCCTCAGTTAATCCCCCATCTTTGTCACCGCCAGGAACTACAGGAATTGAACAGGGTCTTTCTGGACTTTCTATTAGCTCAACTCCACCAGCTGTCAGTAATGTTCTCAGTACAGGTGTGCAGAAATTTATATTCTGTTTTTAACCTACTTTGGTTTTCATTTTATTCTTCTTTCCTGTCTTGGCTATAGAATTTGACAAAGTAATGCAAATGGACCTTAAAAACTATGAATGTTCTCTGTGTGGACACATAGGACCAGCATTTACACCTCTTCTCTGCATATTTTAGACCCTGTTCTCCTCTTAGATTTCTACAACACTTAGGAATCAGTCTTTAGATTCTATGTAATTCTCTGTTTACTCAACAATCATTTGCATATATTCTAAGAAGGCGGCACTGGGGGTACAAAAATGATACTGTTCCTTTCTTAGGGGCTCAGGCTTGCTCAGGGGACATATGCTCCCCCCCCTTTATTCTCTTTTCTATGTGATGTTGAGGTTTTCTGTTTTGTTAGTATTATCTTTTTTTTTAACAACCTTATTAAAACACAATTTACATACCCATCCATGTAAAGTGTATAATTCAGTGGTTTGTTAATATATTCACATAATTGTACAGTTGTACAGCCATCACCACAGTCAATTTTAGAACATTTTCATTACCTCAAAAAAGATACCCTGTACCCATTAGTATACTCTCTATTTTCTCCCGATGCTCATAACTAAGCTACTTTCTGTCTCTGGATTTGCCTATTCTGGACTTTTCATAGAAATAGAATAATAATATATATCATCTTTGTGACTGGCTTCTTTTCTTAGAATAATGTTTTTAAGGTTCACCTGTGGTATAGCATAAGTCATTTCATTCCTTTCTGTGGCTGAATAATACTGCATTATATGGATATATACCACATTTTATTTGTCCATTATCAGGTCAGGAATGTCTGGGTTGTTTCCTTTTTTTTTTTTCCCTCGGAAGGAAGGTTGGGCAATCTACTTCTGTAGTGATACCACCTCGGAAACCCAAGGAGAGGTCACTATTGAGTCAGGTCCGACACGGCACATAAATTTTGGGCTGGATAATGTTTTCATATGTAGAGATACTTAGGGGTGCAATTGCTGGGTTACATGATACAGGTCTTAGCTTGGTATGTTAGTGGAGTTTATTTTTCCCTTTCTTTTTCATAATCTTTTTTATTCTGTGGTTTTCTGAATACAAGAGTATTTTTTACTCAATAAATGTTGAGTAAGTGAATGAAATACTGAAATAGTTGAGTTTTATTTCATTAACATCTTTTATTCTTAAATTCTTTTTAATATTTGTATTCAAAATTTAGGATCTCTGGTAGCACAGTGGGAGCTCTGGTGGCATAGTACCTGTTCTGGTTACCTAGTGCCACTCTGACAAGAATATACCACAAATGGGATGGCCTTACCAAACAGGAGTTTATTCTTAAAATTTAGAGGCTTTAGTCCAAGTTCAAAGTGCCAGGCTCTAGGGGCTGGGTGAAAGCCCCTCAACCTTGGGGTCCAGCTCTGCCTCCTGCTCCTGGCTCACTGGAGCTAGAGGCATTTCTTCACTCAGACAGCTGCTGGCTGTTGAGGCTGAGAAGCCTCAAGGTTGACAAGGAAAAAGGCAATAGTCCTGATGTTACCAAACCACACGGCAGGCCATTAACTTAAGTCCATTGTAAGTCCCAAGGTCAGCAGAGCATAGCAGGCTGCTGAGCAACAGCATGGCTACATGCAGGGTCCAAGCATGCTAGAGACCAGTCCCAAAGGCTTCTCTTTATGTACAGGAAGCAGCCCACATACCCAAAGGCAGCTATGCAGCTGCTTGTGGTAGATCCCACCATGGAGTTGATTGCCAGTCTCCTCATGGGGATTAACAACCACCAGCTGCCCAGCCCACTCAGCCAGGCCCAGCCAAGTTGACACACAAACCAAACAACCACAGTGCCTAAGGCACTTGACTGCTAACCAGAAGGCTGGCGGTTCAAACCCACCAGCCACTCCTCAGAAGGAAAGTTGGGCAATCTACTTTCGTAGTGATACTGCCTCAGAAACCCAAGGAGGGCTCACTATGAGTCAGATCTGACTCAACGGCAGTAAGTTTGGTGTTTGGTTTGGTAGCACAGTGGTTAAGTGCTCCACTGCTAACCAAAAGATTGGTCATTAAAACCCACCAACCATTCCATGGAAGAAAGATGACACCTTGTTTCCTTAAAAAGTACAGTCGTGGGAACTCTTGGGGCAGTTCTCCATCCTGTAGGATCATAATGAGTCGGAACTGACTCAAAAGCAATGGAATTCAAAATTCATTTATATCTCACTTTGTTCTTGAATAGATTTAAAATAGTTCATGAAGATGAAGTAAGGTTAAGAGTATGGTCTCTGCAGTTGGCCCCCTACGTTCGACTCTCAGCTCTTTTCAGGGTCTTAGTTTTATTTCCCAAAAAATTAAAGATTTTGACTTTCTATTATTCAAAATCTCAAACATCTACAAAAGTAGAAGGAATAGTGTGATGAACCTCTGTCATCCAACTTCCTCAGTTATCAATGTGATAATAGCACTGTACTCCTTGGTAGGCCTTTTTCCAGATTTATTGAGATACCATTTATGTACCATAACATTAACTCATTTTAAGTATACAATTTAATGATTTTTAGTAAATTTATAGAGTTGTGCATCGTAATCCAATTTTAGAACATTTCCTGGATGGAATTCAGTATCTAATCATAGATATAGGTAGGTACATTCTTAAAGTTTATTTCACCCAAGTCGTGTTTGAGTCCTTCTTAGAGTTTTTTGTTTTGTTTTGTTTTTTACCTCCTATCAGACAGTTGTCTAGTTTATTCCTGAATACTTAGTAAAGGGTGAGTTTAGGGTACTTACCAAAGCAGCAGTCCATTCTATGTCTGAACAGTTTTTAACCATTTTAGAATAAGGGTATCCCAATGCCATGTTACAGTTCTGATTTTTGAGATAACTGATATCTCTCTTGAAGTCCCAATTATTTTTGACATATTTTAAGTCTCCCCTCACTGCATTATAGTTTTATTTCTACTGTCTTACAAGCACATTCACTGATATCCCTAGCTTTGTTATACTGCAGAGAAATGACTTCTTAAATATTAAAAATAGAAACCTAAATGAAGCAGTAATTGCCCAAAAGAGGCTGAGAAATCAGTGTTTTCATTTTGAATAAATCAGTTTAAAGAGACTAAATGTTTCTAGCATCATGACATATAAGAAACAACTTTCTGTTAAGCAGTTTGTATTCTGTCTTCACTTACAATTTTGTTGCTTGCACAATAGCCCAAAAAGTTGCTTTAGAAATATAAAGATATATTTTTAAAAAGATACTTGTGGAGTTGAAATATTTTGGATTGTGGAATTTTTAGAAAGATGGAGTTATTATTTTGAAGTGGCATTGATTAGTGTGGCCATTCTGTTACACCCCTCACACTCTGTCCTCCTTCATTAATTTTTCTGCAGAAAATTTACACCATCTACATTGTGTGTTTTTTGCTTGTTTTTCTCCCTTTCTTCTCCTGTCCCTCATTTGGATGTAAATATAATGGAAGTAGAGGTTTCTGTTTTCTTCACACTCTAAAGTGCCTCACTGCCAATGTCAAGTGTTACCTCAAATCTTGACTGAACAAACCAACCAACCATCCCACCCCTTTGAGAATGTGAAGAAACCAAAGAACCCACTTTCCCCCAAATGCACATACACAAAAATGTTCTCCACAATTTCGGAAGCTCCACAGACCACACGAAGCCCGTTCATGGCCCCTAGGTTTAGAATTTCCACTTGAGATCCACTTTGTTACTTTTGAAACTGTAAATGCTTCTATCCTTTAAGGACAAAAAGAAACCATGTGAAAGACTTCATGAAGAAATATAGGAAATTTGGTAGCCAATCCAAGCTGCTATAAATTTCTAAAAACCAAAATTCAAAGATAAATGAATATAAAAAATTAGAGCATTGCTACTGTATGTAACTACTTAACAAAGCACACAGAACCTGATGGTTAGGTTCAGGACATAGAACGTGTTCTGACATTTGAGTGGAATAAGGTAGCCTGGGATACAGTGGAACTTCAGCTAGACCTTTTTCAACTTTGCATGTGTCCAATTTCTGCAGAGAAGTAAATGGGTGAATAAATAAATAAAAGATTGTCTGAAAATTCACACATTTAAGCATGATGCATTCTTGCTGTTCTATTTAAGAAGGAGTTTTCGTGGTATAGTGGTTAAGGCATTTGGCTGCTAACCAAAAGTTAGGGGTTCAAACCCACCAGCTGCCCTGTGGAAGAAAGACAAGGCATTCTGCTTCCACAAAGATTTACAGCCTTTGGAAACCCAGTGGGGGGGTTCCCTATGAGTCAGAATCGACCCATTGGCAGTCAGTTTGATTTGGTTTATATTGTATTTAAGCAGATTTCAGTGAGACAAAATCTAGAATCCATATACAGTATTACTATGGTTTGGACATCTGAGTAGATGGTAAATATCAATAGATAGCTCTTTATTAAAGATGGTGGCCTAGGGTTATTTGTATATTAATAATGACTTCCTTAAGGTATCACTAGTAAAACTTTGAATGTATTAGAAGAATTCAAACCAACGTCACAGAACCTATGGTCAAGGAAATGGAGATTCAGAAGGCCGAGTCCTGTCCATCTGTGGAAGTCTACATGCTCTTTTGTCTCTTTCAGGCTATCTACTCATCCTCCTTCCCAGACCAGTGTTCACTGGTTCACAGGGCATCTGGGCTTCCATCAGTCCCAGGTTTACTTGGCCTTTCCAAAAGAGCCCAATAGAGATTGATGTGACTCTTTATATCCCATTTCCAAATACCCAGTTATTTTTCATCTACCCCTGCTTAGGTCAGGTGTAAACCTCTTGTTCAGTGAACTTAGCTGGGTGGGAGATTGCAGAGTCTTCTGCCAGCTTGGCCCTGGCACTGCTCACAGTCTCTGGCAAGGGCATACGTATGATCTATGGCAGGTAGTGTATGTGTGGTCAGTGCATAGCCATAAGTCAGAACCAACACTGAATGAAAACCTGACCATCAAGGGAGGCACTGAAGATTATCTTAAATGGACTTTGTTGATTCTTGGTCAACTGAATGTTAATTTGTTATAAAAAAAATTTTTTTTAATTTGCTTTTATTTTAGGTGTACCAACAGTACCGTTATTACCACCACAAGTGAATCAGTCCCTCACTGGTGTGCCACCAATAAATCCAGCTACTACATTATCAGGTAAACAGCAGAGGACTCAAGATGTATGTGATGATAACAACCTTATTCATATTTTACATATTAAAAACATAATGAAAAAATCTCACACCTATATAGTGACTTTTAGGTTCTTTAATCTCATTTTATCTCTGCAATAATTTTGGGGTAAGTGAGAACAAGTGGCACCTCTCCTAAGCGGACAGAAAAACAGATGTTAGTCACCCAGCTGGTTCAATAGAGCCTAGGGCTCCTCATCTTCCCCCCGACACACACACACACACACACGTACACACAGTGCAGCATGAGCTAGGAACCAGCACTGTAGAAAGGCTTTTTCTTCAGTGCCTCCTTGGTTAGGTCTTTCTGATTGTTGTTTATGTGAATAAACACTGTATCCTGGGAGAGGGCGCCCCTTATTTGAGTCTTCAGTAGTTCTCACATTAAATTAACTTTGTACTTATTTCTGTGGATACCAAGTGCCTTAATCGAACTGATAACAATCAGATATTTCAGTGATCAAATATAATTTTATGTGAGAGCCTTTTGTTGTATGGCTAAAGATCATTATGTAGTCATTATAAGCCATTAAACAAATGTGCATGCCCCCACACACAGAATGATGAAGTGTGGTAAAATTTGGGTAATTGAGGTGAAAGGTATATATGGGGATTCTTTGTACTATTTTTGCAACTGTAGTCTAAAATTATTTCAGAACTTTTTTTTTTTTAAAGAAGACGCCCAGAGATGATAATCCTCAACCATCAGAGAGAAATTCAGTTCCACTTCCGGCCATTCTTGCTGAGCTGCATCAGCCATTTCTCCATGGTGGTCGGTTGCCATCATTCCTGTGCAGGGTTTTAGCATTATTGTGAATTGTTTGACCCTCTGTTCATTTAGCCATCTGATCAATTAAGTATAAAAATATATCTCCATTAAATTAGATTTTGTTATTATTAAGGTTAGTCTAAGGAACTCTGGTGGCACAACGGTTAAGTGCTGGGCGACTGATGGAAAGATGAATGGTTCAGACTCAACCATTGGCTCCTTGGGAGAAAGAGATGGTGATCTGCTCCTTTGAAGTTTACAGCCTAGAAAACCCTGGGACAATTCTCATCTGTTACATGGGGTCATTATGAGTCCAAGTTGACTCTACAACACCTAGTAATAACAACAACATTGTTAAAATACAGAACTGCCACACAGTGGGTTTCCGGGATTCTCTCTTTGTAGTGGGTGGTGGTTATTTTTTTCCAGTACACAAGGGTTTCTATTTCCCCCCAGGTGAAGTGGTTTACCTTTTGTTCTTTTGTGTCTTTGCTTCAGGTCTGATGCCTTTACCAGCAGGACTGCCTAACCTGCCCGCTCTCCCCAACCTCAACCTCCCCGCAGCACACATCATGCCAGGTGTTGGCTTACCAGAAGTTGTGAACCCGGGTATGTTGCAGATCCTTCCATACTGGGAACTCCCTCTCTAATAAAAAACTGCAGCCAGGAAAGCCAACCCTCTAGTTCAGTTTTTTAGGAAAGAACAAATCATTTTAACGAATTTGAGCTATTTCAAGTAAATTGTAATCCTTTTATTTAAAAAACTTTAAAAAGTAGATCTTTGTGAATCTTAGGGAACCAGTGGACTAGGAAGATGAGGCATGGGTACAAAGACTGCTCAGGAGCTTTTTGAGGTTACAAGCATATGTTCCCATCTTCTGTCCTCTGCCTGGCTGTCTCTCCTCCTCGTTTCTCCTCTCTCTGCATCTTAATAGCTCAAATCCCACTAAAGACCAGTTGTAGAGACAACAGACAGTGTCAGTGCCGTAAGTGACTTTATGAAGGGTGTACACTTTGGGCCCAAAGAGGTGAGTGAATTCCCCGTTGCCACCAGGGGTGAGTGGTGCTTGTTTTGTGCAGCCCGGGCCCAGAAACTTTGGCTGGCTGAGTGCACATAACCAAGCTGTCACCCTTGATCAGTTGGCTGGGCTTGATATTTGATAAGTATTCTCCATTATTAATAAATATAGTTAATAACTGTGACTGGTTTTAGTGACAAGCAGCGGATATTCAAGTTTATACTGGGTTTTTATGCGTTGATGAAATAAAGCAGTAGAGTGCCCTGCGGGTCTGCTCTGAGAGAGATTATACTTTGGGGTGGCCGTGTGTCAGGCGTATTTGGAATTACATATCTCAGTGATACCAACTAGTGATCTTATTACACCACCGTGTACATTGTCACATTTTTGTCTAGATTATAAATGTCCCTTTTGTAATGCTCATTATCTGTATACATTCATTAACCCGTCCTGTTAACTGACTTAGTTCCTCAGCTCGAGGTTTTAAAAAACAAAGGAAGTACTGACGCACTGCCATCAAGTCAATTCCAACGCATGGTGACCCCCACTGGGTTTCCAAGGCTTACAGCCTTACTTTACAGAAGTAGATTGCCTCATCTTCCTCCCACAGGGCAGCTTGTGTGTTTGAACTACAGGCCTTGTGGTTAGCAGCCAAATGCCTTACTCACTACGCTCCTAAGGAAGCTCCAGAGCTCCTAAGGAAGCACTTAGTGAACTCAAACTAACATTCGTTGTCTTCATATCCCCTTTGTCTTTGATTTTGTACCCTACATTCCTGGCTTCTCCTCTGTCCTTTCCCTAAATTGAATACTCTTAAGAGCGTTAAGGGTCTCACCAGCTGTGTGGTTTCCCTGGACCTACCTTTCCTTTGTTTCTTAAATTCAGAAAAAGTGTTTTCCTTCCTTCTGTACTGTAAAATCATCAGAGTAAACCCATCAAGTATAACAAAGATTGTTCTCTATCCCAGGACTTAGACAGAGGTTGCAGACCTAGGATGACGTTAGTCAGAACTCAAACTCACTGCCATTGAGTTAATTCCAACTCTTAGCAACCCCCTTTGGTTTCCGAGGCAGTAAATCTTTATGGAAGTAGATTGCCCTGTCTTCCTTCCACAGAGTAGCTGGTGGGCTTGAACCACCAGCCTTCTGGTTAGCAGTCAAATGCCTTAGGCACTATCCCACCAGAGCTCCTTAGGGTGAGGTTAATAGGAGGGGCTAAAATACAAGCCCCACTTCCCCTCAACCTTCACAGAAGGGTTGGTCCCTGTGGCTCTTCTTGTTGTCTATCAAGATGGCAGCTGAAGCTTACAGCTTGCCTGGGGTGAGTTCTTGCACTTGACATTCAGGGGCGATGCATCTGTCACCTGCTGTGTGGGCCCTGGTCTGTTCTGACTGGAAGAATCATTTCTTCCCTGAGCCAGGTTTCCCTCAGTGCCAGGCTGAGTCACGTGGTGCTAAGAAGCCGGGGGAGCCTTTCCTCCTGGGCAGCTGGTTTCATAATGAATACTTTGCTGTGGCCTTCACCTGGGAATAAACAAAGGTGGTACTTGGTTTGGCTATCATTGCTGCTCTTCAATGCTGGGAAGATGTATGATGTATGCCATTTTTGTCCTAGGTTTGCCACCTCTTCCTTCCTTGCCTCCCCAAAACTTACCTGGCATTGCACCTCTCCCCATGCCATCCGAGTTCCTCCCGTCATTCCCTTTGGTTCCAGAAGTCTCTTCTGCAGCAGGCTCGGGGGATCTGCTGTCTTCCCTTCCACTTGCCAGCAACCCACCTTCTGACCCTGTCACGACTACTGCAAAGGCAGACGCTGCCTGCCCACTCACTGTGGATGCGATGCCCCTGACTTCAAAGGCCCTGGCTACTGTTGAGGACAGAGTCAGCGAATCCGCCCCGTCTGCTGAGATGCCTGCTCCTGCTATTACGGATACAAACGCTTCTGAGTCACCTTAACTTTGATCTACTCTTCGGAATCGGCGTGGTGTGTTTATTTAACCACGGAAGCGTGTCTGGAAATGCAAACTATCATTAATTTCACACTAGTTTGTACGTCTCTGTAGGCAACTTGTAAATAATCCTAAAGGGAGAACTCAGCAAGAGGACGTGGGCTTATATCCTGCCAAGTTGGGGTGGGGGCTCACAGGCTGGGGAGGGAAATGTCAGAAACTGCTTGTATTTTAAAACAACCAAAAAGAATTGTTAAGGGGGGCTTGCTGCCATGGTTCCACTGCCATTCTTGGGGGTGTACATCTTTGGAAAAGGTGGTGACAGAGTGTCCCCACTGCTCCTTGTGTAAGAAAATGAAATATTTTATTCCTAGTTCTCATGCGCAACATTTCTTGTACTTTGTAAATTGTTTGCAAGAATGCAAACCACCTCACTAACCGTGAAAGGAAACTTTTACTTTTGTTCTCTGTGCATCGTGTCTCTGTTGAGGTTTACAAGAAAATTCCAACTAAAGATGTTTGTGTAAGTTACACAATGTGCACTATTAATTGAGCATCTTTTTATTCAGCCTGTACACAGATCCTTCTTTAAGCTTTCCAGGTCACTCAGACAACATTTTGTAACTGCTGCTCTTGCTCTATCAGTCCACCATCAGATGGCATTGAAAAGAAATAAAGGAGATGTTGCACAGTTTAAAACTAGAAGGTGGCACTTTGTGGCTACGTACCTTCCTATCGCTCTACTGGGAAAGCATAGATCCAGCAATAAATGACAGTAATTTTACTTTTCTTCTTGTGTTATGTGTACTTCACAACTCCTGACTGTCATATGCGCTTGCCACTCCCCAGCATGTTGTACATCTTTAATGTAACAATTTACGTTTCATGTTTGCTTTATCCTAATTTTTCTAAGAGGTGGAAAATTAACTGGAAATGATTTATTGAATGAGATTAAACACATACTGTATCACTGTTTTTGAAATAAGATGAAAGAGGTTCCTTGGTCATTAACCTGGTGCTCGTATGAAAATGCTCATGTCCCCTGTGGTGGAGCTCTTCCGTGACCACGCAGCAGAATCTGGAGTTCCCAGCACCAGCCCAGAGCCTCTCGGAGGAGGCCCGTGCCAGCCGATTGTTAGATTGTATCCATTTCTGGAGCCAGGTTTGTACTTGAAGCTAAATAATAGAATAAGGCTCTAGCTCTAAGCAAAGCTGCTTCTGTTTGCATTTTAAATATTTCTAGATTATTTTGCTCAGTCAATAGTCAACAATCCTATTTCTTTAAAAGGAAAATACAAGCACATGTAGACATTACAGTTTTCAACTTTGCAGGATGGGGATAGTTGAGCAAATTATTACTTTTTAAAAGATGTTCACATTAAAAAATTAAAAGTACAAGATAAGGAAGATACCCTGATGGAAAGCAAGTAAGTAATTTTTAAGCTTTCTTAAAAAAAAAAAAAAGTTTCTCTAGTGCAGCGATTCTTAAGTCTTTTGAGGCCACAATTCTCATTTGAGAGTGATGAGAGCCCTGGACCTCCTTAGGAAAGTATCTGTAAACACACAGCCAACAGTAAGAGTGTGGAGAGAGGGGTTCTTAGCATGCATTTGGAAGAAAGGTGGAGACAAAGACCTAGGTTAGCTCACTGGATCTTCCCCGAGGGGGCAGACGCTTCTGTTTTCTGCTTCCTTTAGAAGTTTAGCTGCAGACAGCAGTAGGTGCCAGAAACGGGAGTACCTAAGGTCACTCGCTACCTTAGAGGGGAAACAGACTGTTTGATTACCTAGTGCTGCTCTAACAGGAATATACCACAAACGGGTGGCTTTAACGGGAGTTTATTCTTTCACAGTTTGGGAGGCTAGAAGTTTGAGTTCAGAGTGCCAGGCTCTAGGGGCTGGCTGAAAGCTCCTCAGCCTTGGCCATGAGCTCTGCCTCCTGCTCGCAGCCCACTGAAGCTAGAGGCTTTTTTCACTCAGCTGCTGGCTGCTGAGGCTGACAAAACCCAAGGTCAACAAGTAGAAAGGCACAGTCCCAGTATTACCGAACAACACAACAGGCCACTAATTCAAGTCCAGAAAAAGTCCCAAGATCAGTGCATGGCAGGCTGCTGAACAATGAGCTGGCTACATGCAGGGTTCAAGCATTCCATAAGCTGCAGACCCTTCCCAAAGCTGCTGCTGCTTATAGACGGGAAGCAGGCCACATCCCGAGAGCAGCAGATTCCACCATGGAGTTGATTGCCAGTCTCATCCTGGGGAGTAAATACCTGCAGCTACTCAAAATCAGGCCCACCCAAGTTGACCCAGACTAAAAAATTGGTCCTTGGGGCCAGAACAAGGACTGTCGTAGAGATGGCGTTCCAAAAGCAGCCCACAAGGTGAGGTGAGGATTGCATACAGTTGGAATGACCTTGGAATTTCTTCTGGTCACTGCAGGGGTGTGGTCACTGCAGGGGTGTGGTCACTGCAGGGGTGTGGTCACTGCAGGGGTGCACGCCAGAGGAGCACAAGACAGTTGTGATGGGGGAGGCATCACTTTGGATTAGGTTGGGTTATCACAAAAATGTGGCTTAGTCAAGATAGTTTCTTTCTGTTCCATGTTCACATAGAGTTAGTCTGAGGCTGGCACCTCAGTGTCTTAACACGTCAGCTCCCATCTTGTGGTTCTGCCGGTGTGATGTGTGTCTGTTGCCAAGGTCATCCGTGGTCTCAGCAGCCAGAGCCTCAGCCATTCCACCCTCATTCCAGCCAGAAAGGACGAAACAGCACCCCCTTCCCTTAGGGACACTTCACAAAGGTTACACACAGCACTTGGCTTTACATGTTCTGGCCAGAGCAGACTCAGGCCACCTGTCGCTGGGAAATGTACACTTTATTCTGGATGCCAGGTGCCCAGCTAAATGTGAGGCCTAGATAAATTCTTTAGGGAGGAGGGAGAGCGGCCCCTGCTGCCCCACGGAGGCCTGGAGATGGGCCCGCGGGTGAGCGCAAGATGCGACTGCAGTGTTTGCCCACAATTTAATGACAGCCAGGAGGAGAGGCCCTGATGGCAAGGGGGTTGGGGAGAAGGACAGGATGGTTTCTGAGGTGACATTTGATGTGAAGCATCAGGCTAAGAAGAGAACAGAGATTGTTACAGATTTGGGAAAGACTTAAAAGTGAGGACCGGCAAGGAGTTAGAGTGCACAGGGGCCGGGTCTTTTGGGGTCCCCTGTGGAGTTTGAACTCTATTTCAAAAGCTGAGAAGTCACTGCAGGGTTCCCATGGCGGCCAGGAGGCTGGGGTGGGGGCAGGGAGAACAAAGTCAGCTTTGCACTTGACAAAGCCCACTGCGGCAGTGTGGGGCTGGGGAAGAGACGCAGCCGCCTCTCCAGAGGTGGAGAGCTGAAATGAGCAGCAGAGAGGGCAAGAGACTGAGTCTGTGAGAACGAGTTTATCTTTTTCCCTGATTTTGGTTCCTGTTTTGTGTTTAGTCCATTACTAAACCTGCTTACCTTGAAACAGTTTCGTTTAGCTTGTCACCTAAAAATTCTGCAGATCCAGGAACAGCCTTGTGGCCTCTTCATTTTTAAGGCACCCATTAGTGCTCAGGGAGCTCTGGTGGCATAGTGCCTAAGGCATTTGACTGCTAAGCAGAAGGCTGGCGGTTCAAACCCACCAGCCACTCCTGAGAAGGAGGATTGGACAATACTTCTGTAGTGATACTGCCTTGGAAACCCAAGGAGGGGTCGCTATGTGTCCAGTCAATGATGGCAATGAGAGTGTGTGGATTAATGCCCAAGGGTGGGTCAGCTCAGGTGTCTGGCTGTTGCCACTCTGACCACTATTAAGGATATGAGGCCACAGGCTGCTGTGATAACAGTAGTGACATGGAAGGCCTGACCCACCTTTCGGGAACTTACAGTGGGGGTGGGAAAATAAGGTGGTTTCATGAAAGTTTGTGCAAAGTGTAAGGAGTGAAGAGTTGGGAGAACAGAAGCAAAAGGCATCTGGCGTCGGGGAAGGGCACATTCTCTGGCTGCTGATCAGCGAAGGCTTGGATGGGCCAACAGCTCAGCAGGTGGAGAAGGGGTTAACTATTCAAAAGATGGGTCCTACTAGGAGCTCACAGTAGGAAAGCCCTATCATGTGCTGGCTACAAGTACATTTGTTATATTAGAAAAGGCATTTTATTTCAATCATTTCTTTGTCAAAGGTTTTTTTTTTTTTCTTGCAGACAGTAGTCCTCTATAATACTTTTTGAGGAAGGCTGTTCCTCTCCTCGTGAGCTCTGGTGGTGTAGTGCCTAAAGCATTTGACTGCTAACCAGAAGGTTGGCGGTTCAAACCGACCAGCCACTCTGCAGAAGGAAGACTGGGCAATCTACTTCCTTAAAGATTTACTGCCTATGTGTCGGAATCAAGCAACTCAATGGCAGTGAGTGAGTTTGTTATTTTAGTTCCCCTCCTGGCCTGAAAGTGAAAAAGCCTTCCCCTTTAATTATCATTGAGTAACCACTGCTACAGGTTAGAATTGGCTCAATGAGAATACAGCTTCCTGGTCCCTACCCTAGGCCTCTGTAGTTTTAAAATCTCCTCAGGACTCTTAAATGTGCCAGGAATGAGAGCCCCTGTGCTACACGCTGGCATTTCTCTCCCTCATGGAGCCCATCCCCTCCCTGTCCACAATTGACAGGCTCTTTTCCTCCTCCTGGAGCCCTGGGTAGTGCAAATGATGACACGCTCTGCTGTGGTCAAGGCTGAGGGTTTGAAACCCCTCAGAGGCATCTCTGAAGAAAGCCCTGGTGACGACTGACTTTGGAAAGATCACAGCCACTGAAAACCCTACGGAGATCTGTTCTCCTATTGAGTGCAGTTCTACTCTGAAGCAGAAGGGGTCGCCATAAGCAAAAATCCGGGGCAACTGGTTTGGTCGTTTTTTTTTTTTTTTTCAATCTCCAACCTCTGTGGAGTACAGTTCTACTGTGCAACGTAAGAGGTCACCAGGAGTCTGAGAAGACTGAAGGCAACTGGTTTTTTAGTATTTATTTAGTATTTTTAGTATTAGATGATCATTGAGTCAACTGGTCCATAATCCAAGGAAGTAATCAGGTAACAAGCTCATCATCTGCTAAGGCAATGGGTATTTACCTTTACCCCTAGGAAAGTGGCATGCCAGAGGAGGGATCCTTTAACCACTGACACTTTTTTCATTAGCTCTAGGAAGAAGAATCTACGGCTTGGCTAACCAAAGTGTGCCTTTATAGATTGAATATGGAGCCAATTTGATCCAATAGAAGAATGAGGGATCAAGGCCACCACTACTTAATGCGGACACAACAACCACAGGCCAGTGGAAGGGCAAATGGGACTTCTCCCAGGCTGGCATTGCCCGGGGCTCTCCCCCGACGGTCTCTCCACCCATGTGCTCAGAAGCTCCACCTCTTGGCCTAGGACATGGTGGTTTGCCAGTGCTATGAGAGCTGAAGTTACCGCAGCCCAGTTCTCTCAGTTTCTTTCAGGCATCTTAGTTTGTACTGCCTCCTATTATCCTGGTACAATACTGAGCTCGGGGGAAGGATGGGAGACTCCTTAAAGCTGGGGGACCCGAGCCCATGGAGATCCACATCAGAAAATAAGGTCCTTCATGAACTTCATTCACTAGGATCCAACAAATCTTGGTGGAATGGGTGCTTGGGGGACAAAATTAAAAGGCATCACCTAGACAATGTAAACTTGGGAGGAGAAACTAGGTCCTTGGATAGTGATATGAAATTGAGTTTCATCTACTTATCTTTCTGAAGCC